GAGATCTTTGGAGATGTCTTAGAGGATTATCTTTTTTCAAGTAGAAAGGAACTGTCCTAACATTGGGATTGGGTTTTCCTTTCCAGGATCTCACAGGCACTGAGTTGTGTGGCTGAGGCTGGATTGGGCACTGCTGTGCTCTATGAACTCATTGAGGTGAGCTGGGCCCTAAGGAAACTTCCCTCCTTTCATTCCAAAGCATTTTAGCCATGGGTCTAGAACAGAGGTGGGGAACCTGCTCCCTCTAGGCCACATGTGGCCCTCTAGGTCCTCAAGTGCAGCCCTTTGACTGAATCCAAACTTTTATTTTATTTTTTTAAGACAATTGGGGTTAAGTGACTTGCCCAGGGTCACACAGCTAGTAAGTGCCAAGTGTTTGACCTGAGGCCAGATTTGAACTCAGGTCCTCCTGACTTCAAGGCCAGTGCTGACTCCAAACTTAATAAAAATAAAATAATAAATAATTATTTATTTAATTATCAACAAAAATAAATACTAATAAAAGAAAAATAGAACTTAATAAAAATTAAAATCCTCTTAATAAAAGAATTTCCTCTGTAAAACTTGGACTCAGTCAAAAGGCTGCACTCAAGGCCACATGTTCCCCACCCCTGGTCTAGAACCATTCATTTCTCCTAAAGTCAGTTCAGCCCTTTCCCTTCTTTTGGGTAAGACTGGTCCAAATTGATGGAAGTCCTATTTTAAAAGCCCTCCAAAGGTGGAGGTTCTATAAACTTCTTCATTTGTTTACTCCACTATCTTGAAAGCTGACAAGTCTAAAAGAATAATTTTTTTGTCTAACATAGTGCTTCATTCATTTCCTAATTTTTCTCAGTGGTGAGAGAAAAGTAGCTGAACAGATGGATCATCTTTATGTCTGAGACTTCAGTTTAAGATAGTGTGTGCACTGGTGCTACTGGAGATAGAAAGGAAACAAGATAGTCCCTATACTCAAAACTTACCTTCTGGTAGAACACACAGAACATCCACGCAGCAACACTTCACGTTTACATTAGCATTTTAATGTTTACAAGGCTCTTCTCTCACAAGGAGAGGGAGAAGCAGAGGCAGGAGGCAGGAGGCGGGGGGGGGGGGGGGGGGTGGGGGAGGCAAAGAGAGATTCCCTTTCCTCTAGACCACACTGCCTCATACCATATCTTAGCAACATGAATAAAAGCAAATTTCAAATATCCCAGCTCTTGCTGAAAGACCTTATCTTTTTATAATTACCCTTTGACTTTTTTTAATATCTCAGTTCTAGCTACTTTTCATGGGTAGAAAAACTAAAAATCTCTTAAGAATCCCAACCCAGTCATCTGAAGTTCTCTGGAGAAGGCAAACCTTGCATCAGTCTGAGAGGGATTGTAGGGAGCGTTTAGGAGGATGACTAAATTAGGCTTCTCCTTCCCTCCTTAGTCGAGACTTTATAATGTGGCTTTCCACTTTGAAATGGAATTCAAGAGCACTGAGTGCATCATATAAATGGGGATAATCATACTGCTGTACTACCTGGCTCATAGGGATTTTGGGAAAATCAACAAAGTTACTATGTGTGAAAGTGCTTTGTAACCCTATAGCTCCAGTAGAAATAGGGGCTGTTGTTTTGTGTACAAACACTAAAACATTTCAGACAAAATAGGACTTTCAAGTTATCTGCCTTTGGGATTTAACCAGACTTCTTGCACAATCCCTGAAGTCCAGGGTCAGCAGTGGAATAGACTAACCCTCCAGGGACAGCATTGATGCCAAGTAGAGAAATCATCAGCTGAGATTAGTCACAAAAGCTTCTTGGGGGAAGACAGGTTTTAAAGCAGATAGAGAACACGGATTGGTCTTTAGACAGGCAAGATACTAACATGATGTGCTTATATTTAGAACCTTCAAGAGCTGAGGAAGCCAAAGTGTCTTCCTCAAAGTAGATGTTACAGAGTTCACATACTAAAACTTGTACGCTTACAGACAGAAGAGTACCTCAGGCCTTTGCTCAGAATAGGCTCTCTATGAAACAGTTTTCACAAGCTTGGTTACCACAGATTAGAAGCACAAATTAAAGGGAGAGGCTACTACAGGCAGATCCCCTGACAGCAGTGAGAAGGGACAGTTTGAAAGCCTGGCAATAAGAGGAAAAAACTATTAAAAAGCAGGCAAGAAGATCTAAAATCACAGCAGTCTTTGAATTATTCATTAATGGGGTCTAAGGGCCTCACTAGAATATACCTCAGTATAGTAATTAATGATGACAACTAGCAAGAAAGTTATTTGTCTTATAGTTTAAGAAGAGAGATGTATAGAGTGCATTTTAGAAAGTTTCTCCACCCTAAATGATATTTTTTAAAAATAAAATGATGCCTAAAATTCTTTGCTGTCTGGAAAACAATGAGAATAACTTATTCCCTGGGGATTCCAGGAGGCTAAGGCTTTGCCCTAAGCAGTAACTGCCATAGATGGCGAGTACATTAATAGCAGAAATGGAGACTCTATCCAGAGTAGAGCTTCCTAAATAGAAGACTGCTGGAGCGCATCCCCCTGGCCCCAACTGTGGGGCTTATGAACTCAAGCTGAGTGCTCTCTCTTCCTTCTTCCCCACCCGTTTCTCTTTCTAGAAGGGGAAGGAGATCCTCACGGACAACAATATTCCACATGGCCAGTGTGTCATCTGTCTCTATGGCTTCCAGGTCAGTGCTCCTAGAAAGCGGGTGCTAGGGAGGAGGAAAGGGAAGTCTGGGGAGCCTGGCCCCACCATGGCTAGCGGACTTCCCTCCTTCCTCAGGAGAAGGAAGCTTTCACCAAGACCCCCTGTTACCACCACTTCCACTGCCACTGCCTTGCCCGCTACATCCAGCACATGGAGCAAGAGCTTTTGGCTCAGAAAGAGGAACAGCAGCAACATCCAGGCTCTCCGGCTGAGCAGGTAGAGACTGTGTTGATCCCTGCTTCCCCGTTGCCAGGCCTGACTGTCCCCAGGGCCCTAGCTTCAGAAAGGGCCCTGGTTCTGGGTCTCCTCCAGGGGCAGACTGGGATACGGGTGCGGTGCTTGTTTTACATAACCTGCATTTCCAAAATAGGCCTTTTCCCTTTTCTTTCTCTTCCCAGTTAGCCCTTCTAGCAAAAAAGGGGGAAAAAAATATTTCAGCAAAACTAAGACATATTGAAAAGCAGGACATCTCTAGTGTTCCACGGTCAAGGAAAGGAGAAAGGCACCGTCTTACAACTTTTCTTTGGGGACATATTTTCACCAGCCCTTTTATCTGGCAGGGTGTTGGTGTCCAGTGTCCAGTCTGCAGAGAGCTCCTGGTATATGACCTGGCCACACTGCAGGCAGCTCCCCCACCTCATCATCCTCTGGTAAGAGGGCCCCACTTACTCTTGAATTAGGAGGGGAGGCATAAACTCATTGAGAGATTTCAAGAAGGTGGAAAGGATGGCTTCACCTCCTAGAAATGCCTTCTCCAAAATGGTGCTTCACCTGCCTCTGAAAGAAAAGGCTTTGAGGGGCAGCTAGGTGGCACAGTGGATAAAGCACCTGCCCTGGAGTCAGGAGGACCCAAGTTCAAATCTGGCCTTAGACACTTGATACTTACTAGCTGTGCGACCCTGGGCAAGTCACTTAAACCCATTGCCTAGCCAAACAAAAAAAAAAGTGGGGGGGGGGCTTTGAAGTGGAAGGTTGGTTCTGATGACTGGATGCTGACAAGAAGCAGTCACAGGGAAGCAGGAGTCAGTTCACCCTTTCTTCCTCCAGGAGCCATACCAGCCAGATGCAGAGAGCTTGAGACAGCAGGAGGAACGCCAGCGGCTCTATGAGAGGCAGCAACAGCGTGGGGGAATCATAGATCCAGAAGCTGAACGGAACCGTTACTTCATCAGCCTCCAACAGGTGAGGAAGCTGGCCCCTAACCCCACCACACAACTCGGGTGTGCATAGCCATGTGTTGTTTTCAGTGAGGAGGCTTTGTAGTGACAAGGAGGGGACGGGTGATCTCAAGCTGGGGCACTGTACTTGAGGACCCTGTCCTCATTCTCCTTCGCTTTCCTTTTTCTAGCCCTCCCCTGTGGAGCCTGAGGTAGCCCTGGATGCCTCCAAGGGATCTCAGCCACCAGGTGCCCCTGCCACAGACTTGCCCACCCCACAAGACATCCTGCCAGTTGCCCCACAGTATACAAGAGAAAGGATCTCGGGGGCTGGGCCCAGTCAGCAAGGGCTGAATGAGCTCCAGAGAGCTGAAAGAGACACCTCCAGGGCATGCCAGACCCCCGGGCAGCAGTCAGAGCAGAGAGACCTTCGGGGAAGTGGGAACTCTGCCCCCAAAGACTCCACTTGTACACAAGAACTGCCCCCGCCTGACGGGCCATTCAAAGAGCCCATGGACCTGAAGCCAGAGCCTCAGAGTCAAAGGGTTGAAGGCCCCACCAAGGAGAAGGGGGCTGGCAGCTGGCAGGGGCCCCCAAATCGCAGGAACTGGGAATGTGGTCGCTGGGAACGTTCCAAAGGCCGGACGCCTGGCTCTTCTTACCCCCGGCTGCCTCGTGGTCGGGGAGCTTACCGGCCTAGTGCTCGGAGGGAACCTCCTGGCCTGGAGCCAGAGGAGGGTTCCTAGCAGGAATGTTGGGGGACAGGGAATAGTGGGTGGGAGGGAAGCAATGAAGAGTATTGGCCCAGCTCAGCTAACTTTCTGCTTGCTGGTGCCTCTGTAAGTAAAGGGTCTAGTCTTTAGGAGCTATATCCCTGCCAAATTTGTGATGGAAGATGACGGGGCAGCCAAGTTGGCAGATTAATTCCATAAATCCTTCTGTATTTGTATGGAAGTTGTGAGGGCCATGAATGCTAGAAAAAGGAATGCACCTGTAAACTTGTTCTGTCTCCTCAACTGTGGCTGTTTCTATAGGACCTCAGGGTGAGTGGGCGTCCCTAATTAGTAATGATATTCAGACAGCTTCTCCCTACCTTTTCCCCCATTCTTAAACACTACAAGGCAAATTAACCAGAGGAGAGGCAAAGGTGCTATGAATGGTGTTTATTTGTTTGATGTTATGCTTGGTGTGGTCACAGCAAGGGCCTCAGCATGCTTCAAAGCCCCCTCAGGGTCACTCTTAAAGAGCATGAAGTGGCCTTGTACCTGAGCAGCACTGAGCTGGCACTGGGACAACAGGGCTCGCTCTGCAAAAGATTCAGCCTTAGATGTAGGCTCTTCTGGGTAGAACCTCTGAAACATCTGGGACAGCTGCCAGTGTGAACAATAGCCAACATATTCCTTCAGGTCCACTCGACCTGGACGTACCAGAGCGGGGTCCAGCCTGGAGGTAAGAAGCAGAGAATAGACAGACATGGTGTCATTCTGATTTGAGATAGGGGCTGGTTTCCTCTGTTTTTCCCTCTTGCTAATCTTCAAAAAGAGTAGAAAAGGTCAAATTTCTAATTTGCCACATTGTCACTATTTAGAGAGATCTCTCTCCAATCACCTTCTACACCGTAAGAGGATTCTTTCTCCTTCCTTACCTGTCAACATAATTGGTAGTCATGAAGACAATTCGTGCCTCAGTGGAGGCCACACCATCCAGGGCATTAAGCAGCCCACTGAAAGTCAGACGCCCAAGACCTTGGTACTTTGCTGGGTCTAAAGCAAAACAGAATCATTAAAGGGTAGTCACAGTCATCGTGGTTTGAAGTTGGGGGGGCGGGATAAAGTAAGAAGTAGGTAAGAAACCTGACTTGGGAAAACATGGCGTATGGATGACAAAAAAAGGACATCCTAATGAAAGTCAATCAGCCCATAAGAGGTAATAACTAAAGGGAAAGATGAGGGAGTAAGGCATCAATCCCTGGTCCTCCCCACCCCCAGTGCCTAACACTGACTTTCTTTTGCTAAGTCCCGGCTGAGGAAGGCTGCATCTACATCCTCCAGTAGCACGAGGCTCTGCTGTGGGGCCACACTCAGCAAGTGGTTCAAGCGGTCATCAGAGAGACTTGAGTCGGTAAGGCTAAGTAGACAGATGCTGTGCTCCAGTTCCCCAGCCAGAGCTGTGCTATGGAAAACAGGAAGAAGTATGAAGCCGTGGATTATGATCCACCATTTCTCCCTACCTCTTGTCTCACTGTTGAGGGGAGACGAATGTCAAAGGTCCTGCCTGTGGTAACCCCTGTCCTCCTCACTTGTCAACTGGCCTACTTTGTCCATTACCAAACCCTAGTTGACATTTCTGGGGTCTCTTTTATCATCTTGGGTCCCTTTTTCTTTTTCTAAACATATTCCTTCCAAGCCAGGGATAAGGAGATAGAGATCTTCATTCTACTCACATAAAGCTGCTCTTTCCACAGCCAGGGGGCCCGTACAGTAAGTAGCCACGCCGGTAGGGAATGCCTGGGAATATAGCCCGGAGCAGCAGGGTCAGGACCTAAAACCAGTTGTACAACTTCCAAGATTCGGATACACTGAGGAATGATGGCCAAATGGTTTGACAACTACCCCAAAAAATGTGTCCCCATCCTGTCAGCCCTCAGCCTTGGGGCAATGCCAGCATCATCACCCCTCCCAGAACCTGACCACAGAGTATTGGGAACAAACGATGCAGGAAAGTAGCTGAAGCTAATGCCTGGCCAATCCCCTAACCTCTCACCTCTATCACTGTACCACTTGGGGTTATTGATGAATTCACGGATATCTTGGATGATGCGCTCGGCCAAGCCCTTATCCAGCACCACAGATTTTAGGGGCCTGCGTCGTCTAGGATGACCAAATGGTCTCCACTCTGAGCCCACAGCCGTGTACATCACTGTCTTCCCCTCTTGTTGCTGCAGGGCCAGCTCCCGGGCTAACAATTGAGGGTAAAAAAGAAACTTGGAAAACTGTTCCTATCCTTGGATACTTGGTTTCTTAGACCAGAGGGGCTGCTTCTTTTACCTCTTGGTCCCTCTTAGAGAACTCAGTGCCTCCTCTAGGACCAATCCCCCTCCCACATAAATTCTGAAAAGACAGACACTGCAGTACCATACCTTCCTTCAGGATACTACAAAAAATTTTGCGATCTGTGCCAAGAGCGGTGAAAGTGACCGACTCCCACGGAGTGCCCGTCTGCAGGTCAATCATTTGTTTCTCTCGGTTTCGCTCCACCCGGATCCATTTGCCCTGGTACCTAAAGGGGATGCAGGAACCTGGGATAAGGCCTGTCTTGGCTCCAAGTGGACCAAGTCTCCCCACTCCCACTGCCCTCTCACCAAATGAAGTGGTTTCCTGGGCTGGGGACAAAGTCGAACTTGGTGGTTACGTGGCCACTCTCGTGCTGCAGGTACGAGGTCTCCACGCTCAGGTGCTGGGTGCGGGAGCCGTGCCGGGCCAGCCAGCTCAGCAGCCACGTGTAGCTGCGGTCCCGACCCGGGACCTCCAAGGTGATCATGTAGTAGCGTCGGAAGGCCACCAGGCCCAACTGGGCACCCTTCCGGGCCAGGGCCAAGGCTGTGCCCACGCCCACCAGCCCGAAGCCAGCCCCGAAGTACGGGTTGTCCTTCAGGGCCAGCACGAAGTCTGACAGCGGCATCGTGGGGGCCTCCTCTCACGAGGCGTTCAGCATTCCTGAACCTGAGGACGGGCAAGATGGATCCATGGTAAGGTTGGGGAGACAGCGGACCCCTGCTCCCCCGACCAAGATGCAAGGTCACACCTGTGCAGGCCCCCTGCTCCCCCTCTAAGATGCAAGGTCACACCTGTGCAGGACCCCTGCACCCCCCCCAAGATGCGAGGTCACACCTGTGCAGGGCTCCTACCTGGGTTCGAGAGGAGACCATGGAGGGGATGCTGCGCGGGCGGGGGCGCCGAGGCCAGCCCTTCCGTTCTACGGCTGGGGAAAGGGAGGCCCAGCGCGGGAGTGTGTTGCGCGCGGCTTCCCCCGGGGTTGCTGACTGCAAAGGTTGCGGCCGAGCTTGGTGCCCAGAGAGATCCAGGGGAGGGCTGCCGTCTCCCAGGCTGCCCCGTTGCTGCCGGCCCCAATACGGCGTTAGAAGGCCTCTGCAATGCACGCTCTTATTCCCAGAGGCGCCCTCTGGCAGCATCCCACCATGCTCTCGGCTTCCGGCCCGGGCGTCCGGCCGCTCTGGCCCGCCGTCTCGATGGTGCTTCCCTCCCTCCTCCTCCTCCTCCTCCCCTACTCTCCAGCAGGGACCAAGGGGAGGAACCAAAGAGTGCGCGGCGCCGTCCCCCCTTCCCCCCCACCCCACCCGCCGGGGCTGGCGGAGCGAGAAAGAGAGGCCTTCCGCTCGGAGTCCCAGAGCCCGCTGGGCCGGAGGCGGTCTCCCACAGGGCGGCCTGAGGAGGCCGCTCCTGCCTCCCGCTGACCATAGAGCTGCGGCTCCCGCCGGCGCCGGCCCTAAGGTGTGTGACCGAGGAGGGAAGGGAGGCGGACAGGGAGGGAGCGGAGGAGAAACGGCCCAGGCCCGGAGGGGAGAACGCCCTGCGCCCTCCCGATCACCGTGAGGAGGGCCTGGAAAGGGTGCGCTGAGAAGCCGGCCTCGGGTCGCTCGCCTTTTCCGGCGTGGAAGGGCAAGCCCCGACCCGGCTTGGGGCCTCCGGAGCCGCGCCCGCCCTGCCAGTAACCCCCTGCAAAGGTTACTGCCCCGACTTCCCCCCACCACTACACACCTGCCTCCCCAGCCCAGCTCCCCATCCCCCCCAGACTAGCCCCCCTGTGTGAGATCCCCCTCCCCCCCAGCCTAGCAGAGACCCCTATCCCCCACCTAGCCCGGATGACGACTCCCCCACCACCACCACCACCACTGGGGAACGCCCCCATCGTCATCCAGTCTGCCTATATGAGAGCCCCCTATCCCCCATCCCCCCTCCAGCCTGCGCCTCCCAGATGAGAGCCTCCATCCTGTCCCTCAAGCAGAAATAGGGTGTAATGAGCGGGGTCAGGGATGAGAACTTGTCTCCAACCATAGACTTGCCCCGCATCCCTCTCCCAGGGATAGAAATTTGACTGCCCTGAAGGAAAGGAACCAGGTTGCCAAGGTGGGGTACTCTTTACATGCTTGGTCTTCTCACCCACAAACATTTCTTTCAAACCCCACCAAGGCCTTTGCTCTCTGAGTAGTTCATTTTTATGATTGCTACCATCCACATATTTATTTTCCAGCATGATTTCATTTGAACACTTTATTCAAAACGAGCAGCATGGCAGAGTGGATACCAGCACCACTTGGGTTCAAATTCTGCCTCCAGATAGACTGACTGACTGTGTGACGTTGGGCAAGTTGCTCTTGGCAACTCTCTAATAAATGGCAAGGCAGCTCTCCAAGTTAGCATGGCTAATGGAAGCCCCTTACCCAGGGCTCCTTCAGCCTCCAACCTCTAATGTTATTTAAATGATTTAGGTAAACTTAACTCCTACCATTGAATGCCAGTCTTTTAATTTGATAGCATTCTATAATGTGATATAAGTTCCATGTGATGTTTGATTTAGATGTGAAGAACTACCTCAACTGCCAATTGCTTTTATATTTCTGTCCCCCATTTTTTTTGGAGGCAGTTGGGATTCAGCGACCACCCAGGGTCGCACAGCTAGTAAGTGTCTGATCTTGGATTTGAACTCAGACACTCCTGACTCCAGGCCCAATACGGCACCTAGCTGCTCCAGTGTGCCCACATTTCTTCATGGAACTACATGCTTGTTTATTTTGGATTCAGAAGTTGTTAGTAGTTTCTGTTCAGTGAAATGTCAGTGTCAAGAAGGGTCACTGCTTTATATTTATCAAGCTATGGAACATCTAGTCTGGTGAAAATTTTTTGGTGTTTGTTATCGTGGCTTTATTCTTATAGGGATTCTCTATTCTTATAGTGCTATATGGAATTCTATTATATATAATCCTATGTGTAATACAGGATCATAGATTTTAAGCTGGAAGGAACCTTAGAGATCATCAAGTTCAGGAGTGTTGAACACTCAGCCAACCCAGAGTACAGGCCCAACCAGACTAAAATGTAATTGGGAAACAATAACAAAATACATAAAAATACAATAAACATAGATAATGTTACATTTTAAAACTAAGTCGATAAGTGGCCTTCAGGGATACAGATGAGTGGCCCTGTTTCTATCTCAGTTTGATACCACTGATTTTAGTTCAACCTGCTTTATTTTGCAGATGAGAAAACCAAGAACCTAAGATGTTAAATGACTTGTTCACAGTCACACAGGTAGTGAGTGGGAGACCCTGACTTCAAACCCAGGTCCTCTGACTAAATCTAGTATTTTTTTCACTCTGTTGATTCCCCATTAATAGTCCTTTTGTGTGTAGTTTTTAAAAATTGTTTTTGCTATTTAAAACTGATTATAATGAATAAGAATACTTTTCTGGATTATTCATGTTAGGTGGTACCATCGATACATTGTGATACCCAAATGGGCAACCACTGGACACTTCCAAGTTTACCATCTCCAGACTAGATGCCTCATTTGGCTTATGGGGAGCTACTGAAGTTGATGGGGACCCAAGAAGGAGACTAACTGAACATTTTTGCCTTTTCTCTCAGTTGGTCTAGTAGTGTCCCGAGGAAATGCAGCAACAATATGGGAAGTTATGACTGATACTGTATTGGACCCACAACAAGGGAACAGCAGTAAGGAAATGGATGGGCTGTGCCCTCAGATGTTACTACTACCTCTACCCCTCTCAGACCGTGGTGTCCCAGGGCCGGTTCAGAGCCCTTCCTATTCTGACACCCTCCCACCTCTGCCTACCAACTCAAACTGCCTGCTTGTGGAAGCCACGGCAGCAGAGGGCAATACAGGAAGCATGGAAATCTTCGTAGAAGCTGTCACTGGAGACTTGTCCCAGAGTGCCCCCGGAGAGACCCCAGGTATAAACATTGTGATTTTAGAACAGTTCTTAGCAATATTTGTAAAAACGTTTCAAGATATGGCCATCTTGGTGGGGGAAAAGGGAGAGAATGGTGTTTAGTCAGTAAATGTTGCTTGGAGAAGGTCTTGATTCTAAGCTCTGTAGCTGGTTCTAAGCACAATCTGTTTTCGTGGAGTTTTCTTCTGCTCCCATGTGGATGAGATGATGGTTCCTATCTGGAACTATTATCTAGGAAGGAATATATGAGAGGGAAACTGTTCTAAGACGTGTGCCTATGTCTGTACTTCTCAGGTATACTTTCCCCTTATGCTTGATAAGGTTTCCTAGATGGACAGACTTTTCTAGAAGTAATCTAGTTGTGTACCCCCACCTGACCCCTTGACCCAGGTTCTTGGGCAGGTCTATACCTAACTCAGCCTAGACAGATTATTTGAAGGTGGGAACTGAACATGTACCCTGAGTTAGTGTTTCCCTTAGCTGCCATCTGCATATTGATCATACTACTCATTTTTAGGAAGTTCTTTCTGTTATTTAACTGCAATACCTTGTGCTATAAGTTTCTTTTATTTTTCTTGGTTGTTTCCTCTGCTTAAGATATTACCATGACCTTCTTCCTCTCAGCTTTCTCAACTCTCATCTGTCTTTCCCCTTCCCTCCTGGGATCATTGTTTTTTAGTTTCTGTCAGCTCTGTGTATTTTCCTTTTTCTATCCATATTTCGTATGTCCCTCTTCAATTGTGAAGCTCAGAACTGGACTTGGGATTCCAGGCAAGTTCTGAGGTCTCACTGAGGAGAGCAGGAAAATGGCTTTTTATCATACCTACCTGTGAAGATAGTCCACATAGTCTGTGTCTTCTGTATTCCCGCTTAGTGTGTAACGTCGTTGAGCTCGACTTTCAGCTAGCTCCTCAGTGAACATTTTGTCAAGTGAATGATTCTGTATCCCAGATCAGAAGCTGTTTCTCAGCCTTCCACACTATGCTTACGCTCTTTGTCTCCTCACTTTCTCTCTTCCTGAATTTCTGTCTCTGTGCCATCCTGTCTACAGGTGTTCTGGTGAAGGTGATGAAGCTGTACTTTTGTGAAGGTTGTGAGCAGAGCTTTCCTGAGCCCACCCTGCTGACCCTGCACCATTGTCCCAAGACCATATTGCAATCCAAGGGCAGCGTCTCTAGCCCCCACCAGTCTTCAGAACTGAACCCTGGGGATTCCATCCTCCCCAACCGCCCACAGGGGCACAGCCCACCAGGTGGGAATCCCCTGCCATGCCCAGTGTGTGGGCAAGGATTTGCCCAGCTACAAGCCCTGAAAAGCCACTTCAAGGGCCATCAGGTCGCCCCTGAGGCCTTTTCCTGCTCTGAGCCAGGATGCCAGTTCTTTACTAGAGAATGCAAGGGACTGCAGGACCACCTACAGCAGGCCCACAGTTTGGTCCCAGTGCCATGCCCCTTTCATGCCTGCCCCTTACTCTTTGGGAGCCAGCAGGGCATGGAACTTCACCGCCGCTCCCACTACCCCTTCCAGTGCAGCCACTGCAGCTACATGGGCTCTAATGCCAAGCTGTTCTGCCAGCACCAGCGGAGCCACCTACCTGGGGCTCACAAAGAGCCAGCTCCTAGTCAGCACTCCTCTTCTCAGGAGATGCAGCCAGGTATGGGGCAAGAGGTCAGAGTTTCCCCATTCTGATTTGAAGGAGATTAACTTTGTGGGCCTTGGTTCCAATTTCCAGCAGGAAAGATGGCTGCTGGGTTCCTTCCCCCTTTCAGTTACAATAATAGATCTTATCAAGAGCAAGGTAAAGGGGTTCACTCTTGAAATAGGGGAGTAATTGAACAGCACATCTGGGCAGAAGAATCCAAGGTCTTCAAGGGAAAAAAAAAAAACCCCAAACATTAATTCCTTTTCAGAACTGCCAAAGAAAGAATATGTTTGACAGGGTTGTGTGGGTAGCACAGAACTTTCTTGAGCTTGGAGGTGATAGGAACCTGAAAGGTCAAGAGAAGGAACAGAACCTAAAATTTGGAATTTCCTCATCTGTCACTGACCATGTCTTCTTCTTAGTGCATAGGCTGCAGAGAGAGCATGGCTGACTCTTGTCCTTGAAACTAAAGAGTGATGAGATGAACAGGTTTAAAGGTGAAAGCCTGGTCTCAGGCTAAAATTGGATTAGGGTTTCCAGCTGAAAATGCCTGAATAGGAGGAGTTACAGGCCAGCATTGTGATCTTAGCCCCCTTGGGATCCCTGGGCCAAGGGAGAAAGGAGAAGGTCTCCATCCTTGGACTTGTAGCTATAAGGAAGCTGAGATCTGATTCCATCCTCCCCTCCCCTCCCCCCATTTTACAGATGAGGAAAATAAGGCACAGAAAGGAGGAGTGATTTTCCCAACATCTCTCGGCCTTAAGAAACAGCCCTGGGATGAAAGCCCATGTGCTCTTACTCCAGATCAAGTGTTCATAAGGGTGAGTGGCAGCATTTAACTTCTGTATGACTTCACCAGGTTAAATTTGTTTGCAGCAACTGAACGGTCCTCTGTTGAAGGGAAACTTTCCAAAGGAGCTGGTAGCTCCCTGCCTGGCGGGAAACCAGTGGAAGAGGAGGAGGAGAAAGAGGAAAATGGAAAGGACCTTCTGTCTCCTGAGGAGAAGGAAGAGAAGAAAAAAGAAGAAGATGAGAGTGAAGCCAAGGGTGGGAGCAGCAAGAAAGTCCAAAAGACACGAAAAGGGACCCGGCAATTCAAAGGTAACTTTATTAGCCCTGGGGCCCTTGTGGGTAATGCTTTAAGGTTTACAAAATATGTTTTATCTCTGGGGTTTTCTTCACAACAACCCTTCAAGGTAGGTGTTAACTGTTGTCAGATTTTACAGATGAGGAAACAGGCTGAGAAAGGTTAAGTTTCTCAGGGCCACTCAACTAGCAAGTATCTAAGGCAGAATTTGAACTCAGGTCTTCCTGATTCCAAGGCCAGTCCATTGTGCCACCTAAGCAGCTCCAGGGTGGAATCCAGGGTCCCTAAATTTTATTTGAGTAAGTTTAATGGTAAGGGGCTTTGTGGCATCTGAGTTGGGTTTTGTTTCAGGCTGGAACAGGGCTACAAGTTTAACCATCAGGCTATTACATTCTTCTCCAGCTTGCCTTGTCTCCTCTGGAAGGGTATATGGTAGCTATGGAAATGGGATTAAATTAGATTGTTTATCTTGGACTGGTTTCCTGCAAGTAAAAAGGCTGCCACCTAACTAGAAAAGATAGCTCTGTGTTAGAACAGTTTTAAAGAACTTTGATCAAACCACCGAGCATTGTCTGGGCTGGCCTCAGCTCCGTTTTTTCCCAATTTAGAACAGCAGCATTTAAAACCTGCCCTTCAGGGAGCCTATCCTGGATGATGGATGAATACCAGAAATACCACTATTTCCTATAACCTACTCTCCATTTTACAGAATAAGGTGATCCCATTTGGATTGTTCACACCCTTTTACTTCTGGCTTCCTGCTTTAGACTAATTTTCCTTTTCACCAGCACCTCTTCCCTCCTTGTCTTTTTTGGGACAGCTACAAGGAAAATAAGTGAAACTGTGCTGTTTAATGTGAGGCGGCTGGTGGTTCAGTGGAAAGAGCACTGGGCCTGGAGTCAGGAAGACGTGGGTTCACATCCAGACTTGGACACCTCCTAACTGTGTGACTCTGGGCAAGTCACTTAACCTCTGATCCTCTGACCGAATGGATCCACTGGATCCACTCGAGAAGGAAATGGCAAACCACTCTAGTATCTTTGCCAAGAAATCTCCAAATGGGGTCACAGAGAGTCGGGCATGACTGAAAACTACAACTGTGCTGTTTGTTTGTTTGTTTTTTCCACTGGCTTAGACAAAGGCGTAGATGGCTGGCTTATCACATTAGCAGATGACTCAGAGCTCATAAGGATTGCTGACTCATTACAGAATCAGGTTTCGAAAAGACCTTAACAGGTTAGAACCTGGGCCAAATCTAAGAAGATAAAATCCAGTTTGGATTCCCCAAAACAACTTACCCCCGCATGTACTAAATGGAGATACGGCTAGATAGCAATTCATCTGAAAAAGATCTGGGGGTTTTAGTGGACTGCAAGCTAAGGATGGATCCATAGTTTAATACGACGACCAAGAAAGCTAATGTCATCTTAGGCTGCACTAGGAAAGGCATCATGTTTTAGGGGTAAGGAGGTGTGATAATTTCTCTGTCTACTCTCCTGATTGAACCACACTGTTCAGTTCGTGTTCAGTTTTGGACAGTTTCAGGACAGATATCGATGAGCAGGAGAGGCGCTAGAGCAAGGCCACCTGGGTAGTGAAGAGCATTATTTCATGCCATACGAGGACTGCTTGAAGGTACTAGAGATGTTTAAACTAGACAAGAGAAGCTTTGGCTTGGGCAAGGGCTAGTCTTCAAATATCTGAATGGCTACCATGTGCGAAAAAGAGAAGACTTGTTTGGCTTACCCCCAAGAGGCAGAATTAAGAGCACTGGGTGACAGAGGTACAAATTTAGACTTCATGGAAAGAAAAACTCCACCCCAACAATTAGAGCTCCCAGTAAGCGGAACAGGCTGTGGGGGAGGTTATGAGTTCTCATTCACTGGTGGTTGTTAAGCATAGCTGGGGGACCATTTGTCAAGCAGGTTGTGGAGGGGGCCCTTTTTCAAGTATAGGTTGGACTGTATGGCCTCTAAGGCTCGTTTTGTGTCTGAAATTCTGTTCCTTCTGGGTGGTTCTAGGAAAAGTTTTTAAAGCAATGGAATGGACAAGGAAAACTGTTATTTGTCTGTTATTTGATTGATTGATTGATTTAGAGGGGTAACAAGTCTTAGAGATTTTCTGAGACTTGTGTTCCTTAACATTATCAAGAGTTAATTGTGTTCATTTCTTGGAGGGTGTGCTGGCAGTTTAGTTATTGTTGTCTCTCTCTGCCCTTTCCCCTCTGAGTCTCAGTGCCCCCCCTGTACTCCACCCTCTTTGAGCTACTCCCGTCTCTCTCTGTCTCCCTCCCCCTCCCAGGAGACGTGGCTGCTGGCTCTGAATCCTTGTTCAAGACCCACATGTGTCCAGAATGCAAACGTTGCTTCAAGAAGCGGACCCACCTGGTGGAGCATCTCCACCTGCACTTCCCAGATCCCAGCCTCCAGTGCCCCAACTGCCAGAAGTTCTTCACCAGTAAGAGCAAGCTCAAAATTCACTTGCTTCGGGAGCTGGGTGAGAAGGCCCACCGCTGCCCCCTGTGCCACTACCGGGCCGTGGAGAAGAATGCTCTGAACCGACACATGGCGAGTATGCATGAGGACATCTCCAATTTCTACTCAGATGTCTACACGTGCCCTGTGTGCCGCGAGGAGTTCCGCCTCAGCCAGGCTCTCAAGGAACACCTGAAGAGCCACGCCGCTGAGCCCACGCACCTCCACTGCTTCCAGGAGGGCTGCAGCCATGCTGCCCCTGACCGGAAGGCCTTTATCCGGCACCTCCGGGAGGCCCACGGGGTGCGAGCGGTGGAGTGCCAGCACCACGCCTGCCCCATGCTCTTCGCCACGGCCGAAGCGATGGAGGCCCACCGCAAGAGCCACTATGCGTTCCACTGCCCACACTGTGACTTTGCCTGCTCCAACAAGCACCTGTTCCGCAAGCATAAGAAGCAGGGGCACCCCGGCAGTGAGGAACTACGCTGTGCATTTTGTCCCTTCGCCACCTTCAACCCTGTGGCCTACCAAGACCACGTGGGCAAGATGCATGCCCACGAGAAGATCCACCAGTGTCCCGAGTGCAGTTTTGCTACTGCCCACAAGAGGGTGCTCATCCGCCACACGCTGCTCCACACTGGTGAGGCTCCTCCTCCCTCCTGTTCTCCCCCAATTTCAGGGTAGTCTCCTAAGCGCTTGGGGGGGGGGGGTGTGGAGGAGACCATCTCCATTCGGGCTATTAAAGGTTTCTTCTGAAAGAGGCTGCAAATAAGGTGTCAGTGACCTGGAAGTTGTGGTGCCATCTCACTGGCTTCCACACTCTGTCCCTTCCACACTGGCTTCTGGGAACACCCAGTGGAAAACACAATCCCCCATTTGTGCTCTATTTGTGAATATATCAATGTGTCGAACTTGGTTTAAGAGTACAATATTTGGGCACCTTGAGTTTGTTGACTATCCAAAAAGCCCTTCATTTATATAATCTCCCATACCTAAGACTTTTCATGAAAGGCTCAGGGATCTTGAAGGTGGTATAATTTATCTCTTCTGCTCCTGCATCCTTCATTCAGACCCTAAGAATTGATGAGTTTGAGATTCTGACCAGTTCCAAAAGTTTGCAGAGCATGCATGCTAGCTAATAGTAAAAAGAAATTGAACGGAAGGCCCTGATGCCAATTCATATTATCCCGTTTTTACTTTCTTCCCTTTTCTACAAGGCTCCTTTGTCTTTGTTAAGCTTGTCTCTGATAGGTTGTGGGGTACTGTGGCTCTCTGACGTTGGCCCATAGAAGTTGGAAAAGAGGGTGGCTAAGGACAAAAGACAGCACTGGGAAATGTGACTGTAACTGAGACCTAGGTCTCTCCCTTGGACACCATGAGCACCCGGACCCCGTCAAGCATCACAGTAGTTACGAGAGGGAAGCTGCCTTTTACAGGAATCCTGCAGAGAGGCAGTGAGGGGGGCAGAGGGCAGAGGGCAGCACGGAGCCCTTTCTCACCCTTGCTTTCTTCCCCTTTTCCATTTTTGCCCAAGGAGAGAAACCCCACAAGTGTGAGCTGTGTGACTTCACCTGCCGAGATGTGAGCTACCTGTCCAAACACATGCTGACCCACTCAAACACCAAGGATTATATGTGCGCTGAATGTGGCTATGTCACCAAGTGGAAACACTACCTCAGCGTGCACATGCGTAAGCACGCCGGCGACCTCAGGTGTGCACCTAGCGCCCTTCTGCAGCCTCAGCCCTGCTTCACACTCTGACACAGGCAGGCTCTGCCCCCTTTCCTCTCACTCTCAAACCTCCTCTTCCCTGCTGCTCCCCAACCTGGGCCCCTTTGTCCTGCCCTCCATTTGCTCTTGACGACTTCTGTGCGTGAGGGCGAGGTTCCCTTGTATGATCCCTTCACCCTTCCTGGACCTGGCTCAGGAAATGCTGCGTGAAGCTGAACACACGCCCTCGTGCGCCCAGGCCCGTGTACGTGTGAGCCCATGCTTCCTCCCTCAGACTCAGCGGAGGGCCCTCACAGGCACCCTCGAGTCTGGACCTGGAAAGGGGAGGCAAGGCTGTGTCCAAGCTGTCTCTCCTTTCTCTCTTCTTCCTTCCCAGGTACCAGTGCAACCAGTGTTCCTATCGCTGCCACCGCGCTGACCAGCTGAGCAGTCATAAGTTGCGCCACCAGGGCAAGTCCCTAATGTGTGAAGTGTGTGCATTTGCTTGCAAACGCAAATATGAGCTGCAGAAACACATGGCCTCCCAGCACCGCCCGGGAGCTCCAGCCCCCCTGTACCCCTGTCGATACTGCAGCTACCAGAGCCGCCACAAACAGGCCCTGCTGAGCCACGAAAACTGCAAACACACGCGCTTACGAGAATTCTGCTGTGCCCTCTGTGACTACCGTACTTTCAGCAACACCACTCTTTTCTTCCACAAGCGGAAGGCCCATGGCTATGTGCCAGGGGACCAGACCTGGCCCCACGGACATGCTAGCCAAGAGCAGGAGGGCACCAAGCGGTGCCCAGCTCCTCTGCCAGGCCCAGAGGTCTCAAGCCAGTCCTCCACCCAGGAGGAGGGACAGTGCCCACAGCCTGTGGGGTCGGTTGAATCCAGCTTTAACCAGGCATTGTCAGAGATTTGCGTGGAGAAGGGAGAAGGAAAAGGAGGAGAGAGTAGTGCCCCCCCTGGGGGTAACTTGGTAGGGCAGTCTCCCAGTCCGGCAGAGGCGGATGAGGATGGCTGTACCCTGCACCTGGAGGCACTGCGTGTTGAGTTGGAGACTGCTGCTGGGCTTCCCCCCACTGAAATGACAGAGACCTCCCCTATGGAATATGGGCATCTGGGCACCTCAGAAGCCTTGGGACCAGAGGAGCCAGATGGCACGTCGGAGGCTCTGCCTGACTTTGAGGAAGAGCCAGAGCTCCAGAATGGCGGTCAGTCCGACGTAGGGGCTATGGGGGAACCCGTGCTAGAGAAGTGCGCCCCTGAGTCCCCTGGAAACCCCTTATCCTCAGATGACCCCCCTGATAATGTAAAGGGACCCTTTAAGCCACCTCCATCACCTAGGGCACCAGCCCCGTCCCAGCTCCCGCAGTCAGAGTCGGTGCTCAAAGCACTAAGAAGACAGGACAAAGAACAGGCAGAGACCCTGGTGCTGGAGGGGAGGGTGCAGATGCTGGTGGTACAGGGGAAAGGACAGGCCTTCCGCTGTCCACACTGCCCTTTTGTCACCCGCCGTGAGAAGGCGCTAGGACTGCACACCAGGACTGGGTGCCAGGGCCGCCGGGAGCCCCTCCTTTGTTCAGAATGTGGGGCCAGCTTCAAGCAACAGCGTGGGCTTACCACCCACCTCCTCAAGAAATGCCCCGTCCTGCTCAAAAAGAATAAGCCTTCGCTCAAACCCGACTCTCCTGCCCTTCTGGACCCTCAGCCTATTGTTACTGTTGCCTTGGAAAACATAAGTGAGGAGATGCCCCACCCTGCAACCTGGGAAGTTAAGCTGGTGCCTGCTGAAGATCCCCCCGCTGAGCCTCCCCTGTCACCCAAAGAAGGCGATGAGACCCCTGGCCCTCCCTCTGACTCACTAGCCCCAACAGAAGAACATCCCACACCCGCGGCATCCCCTGAGAAATTCCGCTTTGAGCAGGGGAAGTTCCACTGCCGTGCCTGCCCATTCCTTTGTTCCCGTCTCTCATCCATTACTTCCCACGTGACCGAGGGCTGCCGAGGGCAGAGCTGGGGCAGCAAACGTGGGAGCGGCACCTGTCAAACCGAGCCAGGCCCAAGCAGCGGGGAAAAGAGTGTGCCGAGAAGTAACCAGGATGAGCCGGGCCTGGCCGGGGAGGATCATGCCCAGGGGCCCCAGAAGGGCGCCCGGTTCTCCTGCCCCACCTGCCCTTTCAGCTGCAGGCAGGAGCGAGCTCTAAGGACGCACCAGTCCCGGGGCTGCCCCAGTGCTGAGCCCCAAGAGCTGCGCTGCAGCCTCTGCCCCTTCACCGCCCGAGCTCCAGCCGCTCTGCGGCTCCACCAGAAGCGGCGACACCGGGCAGCCCTTGCGCCTTCCCCCACCCCGCCGGCCACCCGTGGTCCCCGCCCCCTGTTGCGGTGCCAGGATTGCAGCTTCACGTGCAAGCAGAGCCGGTGCCTGCAGCAGCATCGGCGGCTGAAGCACGAAGGGGTGAAGCCCCACCAGTGCCCCTTCTGCGAGTTCTCCACCACGCGGCGCTACCGCCTGGAAGCGCACCAGTCTCGGCACACGGGAGTGGGCCGCATACCGTGTGGGTCCTGCCCCCAGACTTTCGGTACCAACTCCAAGCTGCGCCTGCACAGGCTGAGGGTCCACGACAAGACGCCCACCCATTTTTGCCCGCTCTGCGACTACAGCGGCTACTTGCAGCATGACATCACGCGACACGTTAACAGCTGCCACCAGGGCACGCCGGCCTTTGCCTGTCCCCAGTGTGAAGCCCACTTCAGTTCAGAGACCGCACTGAAGCAGCACGCACTGAGGCGACACCCGGACCCTGGGCCTCCGGCTCTGGGCTCGCCCACTGAGGTGTCCGGAGGCCCTCTCCACTGCCCTCACTGTGGCCTCTCTTGCCCCAGCCCCGCCGGCCTGCGATGCCACACCCGCAAACAGCACCCCCGGCTGGAGTGCGGCACGTGCCATGAGGCCTTCTCCAGCCGGGGAGCCCTGGAAGAGCACCGGAGACAGCGGCACTTCAGCCATCGGTGCCACCTGTGCAGCTTTGCGGCGCGGGAGCGGGCCGGGCTCGTGCGGCACTACCTGGAGCGGCACGAGAAGGCGGCCACGGGGGATGGCGGGGCCGGGGGGCCCCCCTTGCGCTGCCCCTTCTGTGACTTCGGTTGCCGACACCAGCTGGTGCTCGATCACCACGTGAAGGGGCATGGGGGAACACGGTTGTACAAGTGCACCGACTGTGCGTACAGTACCAAGAACAGGCAGAAGATCACTTGGCACAGCCGAATCCACACTGGGGAGAAGCCGTACCGCTGTCATCTCTGCCCGTATGCTTGTGCTGACCCCTCCCGCCTCAAGGTGAGGGACTGGGGCAAGGGTCCTCTGCCCACTGGGGTCAAGGTGGATGGCTGAGAGGTTAAGGTTGGAAAAACAGGAAAGGGGCCATCTTTGATGGTCCATCGTGTGTATTGCCTGGCTGGAGGCTTGGGGATGGTAGTCCTCTCCTCTTGTCCTTGATGGTCCATTGGTGAGTTCAACTGAACCTGGGAATCTAAAGACCGGGGCGGAAAGGGGAAACTCCTCCTCTGTAAAGTAGTGAGGGTGGGGCTACCTTTGGACCTCCAAAGTCTGCATCCTAAGATGTGGGGGCAGAAACAGGGCCGAGTGGAGGAGCCGCACTTTGCCTGTCCTTCCCAACTCCCGGGAGCCGTGATTGAAAATGCAAGAGAAGGGGGTGGGGGTCCCTAGGGTGCACCTCGTCCATTCTATGTGCTGCTTTTCTTCCCATCTCCAGTACCACATGCGAATCCACAAAGAGGAGCGTAAATATTTGTGTCCCGAGTGTGGCTACAAATGCAAGTGGGTAAACCAGCTCAAATATCACATGACTAAGCACACAGGTGAGTCTGGGGGAGGTGTGGGGAGGAAGTGGGTTAAGGGTCCCCCATGGTTCCCTCAGCCTCACTGAGGCAGCAGTCCTGCCAGGACCAGAGTGACTCAGGACAGGGCTGCTTGGCCCCTGCATGGAGCTGGCGTGAGTTATTCAGAGTCAGGAGAGATGAAAAGGCAAATTGGCAAGTCTTTCTCCCCCCAGAGAGAATATAAGCACTTTAAGAGCAGAGATTGTTTTATGTTTTAATCTTTGTATCTCCAGTTCCGAGCACATAGTAAGTGCTCACAGCAGGTGGCCATTTGCCCAGCATAGCACTCTTAGACAAATCAGAGGAATTCTCAAGGCTTCTAGGATTTTGTCGATATTGTTTATTTCTTTCCAACCATCCCTTTTTACCTGTCTTTCTCTTGACTTAGACTAATGTTTATTATTTGTTTCTAAAAAAAGCAGACTCTGGAGTCTCTCCACAGATGGCGAGTCCCTTGGCCACTTCTTTCCTCGTCCTTTTTGGACCCTTTGTATGTAGCCGTTGCTTCTTCCTATCCTGAAGGTGGCAGTTTAGGGATCAGTCAGTGATGTATATTGAATGCCCTTGTGGAGGGCATGGAGTACAAAGGAAACAGCAGACGTGGTCTCTGCCTTTGAAGAATTTACAGTCTAATGGGGAAGGCAGGAGAAAAAACCAGAAATCCCCAGAATAGGGTTGTAAGGGTTGGAGTAATGTGAGTAGTCAGAGCTGATGCATCAGCTTTGAAAGCTCCCTGGGGGCAGCTAGGTGGCACAATGGATAGAGCACCAGCCCTTGATTCAGGAGGACCTGAGTTCAAATCCAGCCTCAGACACATAACACTTACTAGCTGTGTGACCCTGGGCAAGTCACTTAACCCCAATGCCTAGCCAAAAAACAAACAAACAAACAAACAAAAAAGAAAGCTCCCTGAAGGAGGGCTAAAATGAGGGGGAAAGAGCCTTGTTCAGAACATGCATGTAAGCTCTGAACAAGGCTCTTTCCCCCTTGCTTAGAGATACTCTCTTTTCTTCCCACCCCCAGCTCCTAGCCTCATCTCCCAACTATTCTAGTGAAAGGCCAAAAGTCCGGGTTAAGCTGTGAGCCACAGGTCAGGGACCGTGTACAGTTCTCATGCCTGTACAACTCCCAGGCCAGGTGTTAAAACCTGTAGAGGATGCACCTCATGGCAAAAATGCTCGTCTTGTGGCTATAATACAGCTGGGTCCCTTTCAAGCTATTTGCCTGTCATGCTGTTTGCTGGTAAATCACTTGGGACTGGGCACTGAGCCTCCCCTCCCTTTTCTCTCCCCTGGCAGGACTGAAGCCGTACCAGTGTCCTGAGTGTGAGTATTGTACAAACCGAGCAGATGCGCTCCGTGTGCACCAGGAGACTCGGCATCAGGAGGCCCGGGCCTTCATGTGTGAGCAGTGTGGCAAGGCCTTCAAGACGAGGTTTCTGCTACGCACCCACCTTCGGAAGCACAGTGAGGACAAGCCATACGTGTGCAACGTGTGCCACCGAGCTTTCCGCTGGGCTGCTGGCCTACGCCACCATGCCCTCACCCACACTGACCGCCACCCTTTCTTCTGCCGCCTCTGCAGCTACAAAGCCAAGCAGAAGTTTCAGGTGGTCAAGCATGTCAGGAGGCACCATCCTGACCAGACTGACCCCAGCCAGAGTGTGGGCAAAGACCCTACCACCCCAACAGTGCATCTTCATGACGTGCAACTTGAGGATCCTGTTCCCCTAGCTCCTGCTGCACCTGAAGGCTGAGCCAGGCTTCTAAGAAGTCATGCATCAGGAGACAAGGGCCTGGACCCGAACCAGATACTGGTACTGAGGAGGGCCAAGGAATTGCTGGCTTTGTCACCTCTGGGAGGCTGGGCCCCTCCTAGGGTGGGGCATAGGGTACTATGAAATGTACAGCTGTGTAAAAATGACTGGATCAGAGTATGACTTATCATACTTAGGGTGTTTTTAGTCCTCAGGATCCCTAAGATTTTCCTCTAGAAATCCTAAATTCAGGGGCTTGGATTTTATCAATTCTTTAAAGGCCTTCTCTTCTTCCTTGTCACGTCTTTCACTGTTTCATCGTCATTAGGACATCTTTATTAAGCATCTAATGGCGTATACTTTGTACAAAGCAACTTAAACAGGATGTGATCTCTAGCTTTAGATTCATGTCTGTCTTTTTCTTAACCTATCTTAACCAGGCCGGCACTTTATCCTGCCCTTCTTCTCAGACTGTTCTCTGAATCCTTCCCATCCCCACTGAAATAAGGAGTTTAGTGTCAGATACGAGACTGATGCAAGTTTTCTGTCCCCCCTGCTTTATTCATGCTCCTCACCCAGCTCTGAGACAGGCTTGGGTAAAGGAGCTTTTAGCAAGAGGGAAGGCCTGGAGCAGATAAACATTGCATTTCCTCTTTTTCCATAGGAATCCCCAGCCCTGAGACACACCCAGAAGCTGACCAGCAGCTTTCAGGAGCTGGAGTTGGGGAAAGAGGGCTCTGGAGGTAATGGCCCATCCAGGGCCTTCCTCCATGATCCAGGAGCCTTAGGTGAGATCCGGCTTCAGGCCTTTTGCGTCTTTCTTTCCTTCTTCCTTCCCTTCCGTGCCATCCACCCCACCAGGGTGCTTTCCCACTTTTTGCCCAGCACCTTGTTCCCTTTGCCTTCTCTCCCCACCTCCCAACAAAGCTGGGCCCTGCCCTTCTTCACTTCTGAGCCCCCTTTCTACCTTTTCCTACTCTCCCTACTCCAAAACAAGGACCAGTCACAGTCTAGACTGAGTCAGTGGGAGGAGTTGTATTTTGTACAGGCAGGCCTAGGGAGAAGGCCAGCAGGAGATCTAAGAGAGGCATCGAGGTTCCTCTTCAGAGGTCAGATACAGTGCTGTCCAGGGTGCAGGGACCTGGTTGTCCCACAGCCTCTGCCCTAGGGGCCCTGACTTCTTCTTTTCCTTAGCATACTTGTTGTGGCAAAGGATGCAGGACCCACTTCTGGGTTCCTCAGCCCCAGGCTTCTCTTCATCTCTGGGCTGCAGCAGCCTTTGGCCCAGGGTCAGGGTGAGAATCCTAGAGCTGGACCAGGGAGAAGACTACAACAAAAGGAGCAGCTTCCAGGCAGAGCAAGAGGACAGGGATTCTGGTGGCATGACAGAAGCCAGGAAAGACACAAATGGCCCAAGGAAGCTGAGACCTGAGAGGAGAGGGGGAGTGATGAGGTGGGCAAGGCCCAGGGAGGAAAGGAGAAACTCCATCTAATCTGGGAGCCTGTTTTTACTCCTAGGAGTACCCCACCTAGCCTTCCCTGATACCTGGTAAGAAACGAAAGAACCACCCACCTAAACTGCTGCTGATGCTTCTCGCTCAGTCTCCATCCTCATCCAGCTCTTCCCGGATCTGGATGTGCACAAAAATGGAAGCAGGATGGAGACTCGTACCGTCCTTCGAGAGAAGATGTATGTGACGATAACCTGAGCGAGGAATAAATCCCGGTGTGGGCGTGGTGTGGGAGAAGGGGGCATGAAGAACCCCATCCCTTAGCTAGGCTTGGGGTCAGGCTTAGCCTGCTGAGAGATCCAGGCTTGAAAGGTTAGACAGGCAGGCTCACCTTGTTGGACGCAGGTCCAAGGCACTGTGTACTGACCAACAAAGTCATTTCTTGATGCCCTGTCATAATCTTCCACTACAAATCGTAGGAGGGCAAGCTCTGGCACTCGCACCCGGAACTGCAGTGTCTGCCCCCAGTAGGGGTTAAAACCTGGTGGGCCAGGACACAGCGTTGACTACGTAGATGGAGGTGGGGATGCCTCCCCTTACCCAGGAGGGGTTTCATGGGGCCAGTCTTCCTCACCATTGTTCTCCACGTAGCTGGTCTCCTGCCGGGCTGTATCTCCTGGCACTCCATAAATTTCTACCCGAACCAGGGGATCCACAATAGAGCCTTCTTTGCTGTTGGCCACCTTAGGTAGCTGCTGCCCACTGATCACCTGCAACCAGACAGTCAGTGGCCCAGAGCTGCCCAGGTACCTCCCCTCAGCCTCTCTAAATATCTAGCCCTAGAATCTCTGGTGTCATTGTCCAAGAAGGAGTTTGCTAGACTTGGAGTTTCTTTCCAAGTAGGTACTTTGCAGTTTAAAACACTTCCAAATGGAACAATGGGATTTAAACATGTATCTAATGTGGCTTCTACGTGTTCACTCCACCCATGTTAATCCTCACCACCCTGCCCCACCTGCTTCACACACACTCATGCTCTATTTCCTCACAGTGCCACACCTGAATGAGGAGAGTCAGAGTGGGACTGGGTGGTCTCTCGGGGTGAAAGGAGCTTTGGGGGTCACACAGAAACGCTGGCTTCAGCACGTAGCCACAACCGCCGTTCTGACCAAAAAGCCCATCACAAAGGTCCATCTCCAGCCCTGCAGTCTGAATGTTCAGGGCCACTTGATAGGCCAGAGAAAAGGGGATGGGAACAATTCAGATGGTGGTGCATGGCCCAGTGACCCCCCACACCCCCACCCTACTCCAGCCTCTCCCCCGGGCTTAGACTGCCCGGTCAGGAGTCCCATCTCCTACCCCCAGAGTGTTTCTGCACCTTTTCACTCTGGGCCCCCTCTCCTCTCACCCATCTGGCAGCCTGCATTCCAGAGCTCCTGAGGGCTATAATTGGAGGAATCTGTCCTCAGGCCACTGGGATACACTCGACTCAGCTGCCACGCATTGTGTTGTACAAATTCATTCCCTGCAAAAGGAGCTGGGAGTGAGGGGAAGTTGAGCTGTCCACGGAACCCCAGCACATCCCCTCGCTCTTCCCCCAGGACTTGTCTCCAAAGGACCTCTGAGTTACTCAGTCTCCCCAGCTGTTCAAACTCCTCAGTCTCCTTTTCTTTGGTATCCAGCTTTCTTCTGTTTGGCCACCTGCCCCACATAATCTGCTTCTCCCCCCTGTCCTCATGCTCCCACCCTCATAACTCCCTTCCTCTCTGTCCTTGGCAGCTTCCTTGTACTTTGGTGCCCCGGTACACCACACCCAGCCTATATCCCTCCTCTCAATTTCACTCTCTCCATGTCCTAACCGGCCTCCTTGACCAGGCGCCGGGCCTTTGCCTCAGAGAAGGACGATGTCTCATAGAGGCGGTAGTGAGCCTTTGAGTGTGCAAAACTTCGAAATGGAACACTCTTCAGATAAACAACCAGGGATGATAGGGCTGGGCACAGGGTGGTCTTGGATTTCTAGAGAGAAGAAAGCAGGTGGTAGTGGGAAAGAGACAAAGAGAAGAGAGAAGAGCCTGACCTGAGATTGAACCATGCCCCTCATGCTAAGACCCTCCCCACCACCGCCACTAGGAGTCTCCTCCCAACCCTCCCTCCCCACCTCACCTGCTTGGGCAGGAGAGGGGACCCAGACATGGGACCAAGGGCCTGGGGCCCAGTCTGACAACACACAGACGGACACAACAGCCGACAGGACACAACCTGGGGTGGGAATGGGAATAAATGCAGCCTGGGTGCCCTAATGGTGTCACTGGAACCCACCATATGGTCTGCCTGTGCACATTCAGGATGCATCACTTGTAATGAAGAGTTAGAATTGGGGGATGGGGTAGGGGAGAGGGCAGGGACTGAAAAGTAATGGGGAGTATTTCCCTTTTAAAACCTACTGACATATCTAAACTTTGTATCTCCCAGCCAGTGCCTAGCAATGTTCTGCACCTAGTAGGTGCTTAATAAATGTTGATTTTAGAAAGCCCTAGTCTTAAGTGCATGAGTACAGATAGTTGTTAACACTTTGCATCCTAGCCCTGGGGATTCCAGAATGATGTCTTTGAGTATTCTTTCTAGAATTCCCATTTATGTTAAACACGAATAGTGAGGTATCTCATCAGCTGGGTACGGTTAAGAATCTCATCAGAGGAACAAAGGTAGGGAGATACTACGGACAGAACCAGATCTGAGCTTCCAACCGTGGATCTCCAAGGGTTCTGACAGTTGCCCATCTTCCACGTCTTTGCTGACTCCCCTTGCCTGCTTCAGCAAGTTTTCACAGCCAGCCACCACCTTCCCATACCTTGGAGGCTAGCCCTCTTCTGCCCCACTGCTTTTCTCTCCCTCTAACTTCCGCTCAAAACTCACCTCCAGAAAACTGTCCCTGCCTGACTTCCCTGGACAACATAATTCCAGTTGCCCAATTACAGCAGAAATATCTCAGTGTTCTCATGCACATATATACATGTAAATGGCACTCCTTTAGGCTTTCCATCATGCCTTGCATTTTTGTAAGTTTGCCATCTCCCGGCCACACACATACACACACACACACACACATTATAAGCCCCTTCAGTGCACATATATGCATAGAAATGGCACTACTTCAGGTTTGTCATCATAATTTCCTAAGGATGTTATCTCCCCCCACCACACACACACACACTTTGTAAGTCCCTTCAAGAGCACAGATTTTGCCCATTATTTCTCTGAATCTCCACCATCAGCTGTTACATAGTTGTGCAGTAATAAGTGACACAAATCCAAGGGACCCTGCAGTCAGGTTAAAACTACCTCAAGCCCCACTTTCTTTTTCCTCTTCTTGTTCTGGGCTGTCTCATCAAAGTCCAGCACATCAGGCTCCAGTTCTGGCTCATGCTCTTCCTCTTCTTCAGGCTCTTCCAGTTCCTCAGGGTCCTCTGGAGCCTCCCCAAGCTCTTCCTCAAGTGTTCCTATCTTCTTCCCCTTCAGGAGAATCTTCCCTCGAAGCTCCTGACAATATGAGAGGAAGGGAAATGAGGCGGGACAGGTTGAGACCTTTCACTATGGAACCAGCCTGAATTGCTCCTGCAAGCAGGAGAAGTAAGGGTGCATGCATCTGCAGGTCACCCCACTGAGGGAGACTGGCTACTCAAGCAGAGTGGGGAGCAAAGGCCTAGGCCACCTTAGGGTGAGGATGTCTAAGCAGGAAGAAAGAAAGAAGCTCTGGTTTGGAGTCAGAAGACTTGAAATTAATTCAGGGACTCTTCACCTGTGGATAGATTTCGGAGGGATCTGTGAACTTAGGATGAAAATTACATCTTTATTGTCACTAACTGGTTGCTTGTTTCATTCATTCTGTATACTTTATGTATTCAAAAACATTCTGAAAAGGGGGTGATAGGCTTTACCAGACAACCAAAAGGTTCTGTGACACACACAAAAAAAAAGGTTTAAGAACCCCTGGTTGATGACCCCAAATCTAAAAATCTATGGTCTAAAATGTTAAATCTGATCCATTTATAGAGTCTCCTGGCTAGAGATATAGGGAGCTAAGTCTAAGAAAAGATGGTACCTAGCAGAGGGTGGGGGAATGAGGATACTCATACCTCTGGTGATGGCAGTTGGGTGGGCAGGAGCCCATCCAAGGTGGTACTGAGCAGTCGCTGTCCCAGGATCTCTGTCAGGTGCTGGGCAATGACCTCTTGTTGCTCCCAGCTGCAGTGATTCTCCAGGGACACTATGACTGGGAAGTCTGATGTCTGCATCAGGGAGGCAGTATTGGTTTTACATACTGGCTCCAGACCTTTGAGATGACGTCTCCCGCCTTCCCCTAACACTTGCTAACCCTAAAGTCTAGTTCCTCAGTCCTCACCTAGCAAAGGCTTCCCCAGGTGTCTTTAGCCCTTGAACATAGCTGGTCTTGACACCCCTTAGAATACCAAGCTAGGTCTCAGTCTAAATCCCAAAGACCACTTTCTAGGGGATTATATCCTTAGGTCAAGATTGGTAAAGGCTCTTCAGGGCCTTTGGGGCTGGGCTGAGAGTCCTAGATTTTAGCTGTGGAAAGTATGGCACCATTCACCTCATTTCATTCTTTCCATTTAATATTCCTCTACTTAGAGGTTCTCACAAGTATGCCAGACGAGCAGAAGCAACTATTCCGAGTACAACCTCATAGATTGGGTCTACTTACTAAGTACAGAGAAGAGGCCCACCAGTGTAGGTTGGCTACTAGGTGATTAATTCATTGACTAGCACAATCTCTTAAACTCCAAGATCTCCATCTCCCTAGTCCTTCAGGCTTCTAGCCTTCCTTCTCCCTAGTCCTCAACTCTTCTTCCCTCTAATCTGCTCCCTCCCCAGCTGCCCCTTAGACTCCACAATCCCATTTCCTAATCTCCCCACTCCCAACCCCAACCCTAGTCACTCTTTGCTAAGACCTTCCTTTCTTATTTGTGCCCCAGTCTCAGGGTCCACACCTGGAAGGCATACTGGGCAATTGTAGCCACAACATCTTGGAAGGGGATCCGAGAAGTCAGAGTGTGTCCGTGGTAAACAATTGGTTCCCCACTGGGTCCATCCCATACATCCACTTCCACACAGCGACATCCCCGCTTCAGAGCCCTGCAGGATCCCTCCAACCCCAAGAGGCATAGAAGGTCAGACACAGCCTTGCTCATAATAATTATCCTTCACATTTATATCAGGGCTTTGTAGCATGCAAAAAGCTTTCCTTCCCATTTTCTCCTTTGATCCTAGCAACAATGCTGTGAGGTCAGTGGAGCAGGGATTTTTTTGTTTTTTTAAGTTCTGTATTAGAGGTTATAGGACATTAAGTGACTCCCAAAATCTATAAATAGCAGAGCTGAGATTCAAACCCAGGTCTTCAGTTTCCTAGTCATGTGCTAGACTAAAAATATTTGTTAAACGAATGAATAAATCATAGGATTTTAGAAATAGAAGGGACCTTGGAGATCATCTAGTCCAATGCTCTAATTTTAAAGATTGAGGTTCCAAGAGGTTAAATAATTTATCCAAAGTCACACAGCTAGTAAGTGGAAGAGCTGGGATTTGAACCCAAATCTTCTGATTCCAAATAGCCTTGCCCTCCTTACTGAGACCTCCCAAATTCCACGACCATATCATGAAATTCAATTAACTCAATGATAGACCACCCATAGGCACTCCACCTGCTCTCTGTTTTCCAGTCCTCAAATCTACCGATATCCCATGGACTCTCTGGTCTCTCCAGCTCCCTCAATCTTTCCACACCTCATTCCATCCTCCTCTGTGGTCCTAATGACACCTCCCTCCTCCACTCCACTAGATCCCCTGGGCTTCTTCATGCTATCTCACC